ATCATAACTATAATTCACAAAAGGTGACAATGTAGGTAGCTAAATTTCTTTTAAGTCCATCCCAGAAAAATGTAACTGCAAAATGAAAATAAGAAACCACCGTAGGAAACCAATCCACCTTCCCCTTTTCGGAAACCTTCCATAAATACGCCCTATGTAGTCTTCTAATCATTCTACTCAATGCTTCAATATCCAATTATGCAAAAGTATATAAACAACCATAACCCTATCATAATGCTATAAGAATAATACCATAGGTATAATCTTCTCTAGACAAAATAAAAAAAGAAAAAGGTGTAATTCTATGACACGGGATACTATTTCTACTGCCACAAACAGTCCAAGTAAGCACTCTTGAGTTACATAGTGACATTATACACTTTTTTTGGGTGTGTGGAGCTTGCGGAATCTACAGTTTTTATACATATTGCCTGAATCTAGCTATTATGGAATGAAACTTTCATTGAAAGATTCGTAATTAAGCTTGAATTTCTTTTTCATCTGATAATTTTGCCAACTAGGCATACAATCCGATAATTTTGTTGTTTTTTGAAACCATATAAATGTAGTTTATAATGTTTAATGGTTTCATTGAGATGCATAGAATCTTTCCATGAAGAAAAGTGATTTGTGTTATAACATTTTGTTTGATGTGAACTTTATACTTTGAAATTTGCCTCTATGTCTATAACTTAGTTCCTAAGAAAAGCATGTGTCTAAAATTAAAATTCCAGAAAAATGGGCGTAGTGAAGTGTAAAGCTGACTTCAAAGAATAATTTTTATATGCATGGAATAGTTCCCCCATATATGCCGATTAAAAAAAATGGTTGACCATATATTCATTCCGAAAGTCCTCTGGCTTCAAGCTTTGTTGTGACAATTTTTTTTAAAACATAGTAATATGTAAGTTTGTAATCTTTCTAATGGTTTTGGGAGAAAATTGAGTTATAAAATGGAAGACAGTATACTGTTCTATGTCTTTTATGCTGATGGCTTCATGCCATGCTATTTTATTAGTGGGTATAAAACTACCAAACCAATGTATAAGTTGAATCATATCCAGTGACATTGTTCATGTGCGTTTCCTTCCGTTATTTATTTGATGATTGTATTGGTTTCTGTTCCTGGATGTGCTTGTTCTCTCTCTCTCTCTCTCTCTCTCTCTCTCTCTCTCTCTTCGCTGTAGATGACACTACAGCAATTACAGTAACATTTTCAGCGTCCTTTTCTTTTTTTAATTCTTGCTTAACATTAGATCCCTACTGCTTGATTTTGATGAATTAAACAGCCTTGCTGTGTCCAGATTTCATTATTGCTTTCACCCTTATGTTACTTCTGTCCCTCCTATTATTGCCCTATTCCGTGGTAGCAGATAAAGCCTGTGACAGTTTACGGAGTCTTGCTGGACCCTTGTAGAAACTAACCGGAATCAATGTCGGGACAGTTTACATAGTCTTGTCGGACCCTTGAAGGAGCTAACCGAAATCAAAGTCGGGACAGTTTACAGAGTCTTGTCGGACCCTTGAAGGAGCTAACCGGAATCAAAGTCGGGACAGTTTACAGAGTCTTGTCGGACCCATAAAAAGTCGCATCCTCAAAAGGTGTGCCCAATTTTGTCAAAAGGCGTGCCATCAAAAGGCGTGCCCATTTTATCAAAAGGTGTACCGGACATGATGGCGAGGCACGTGACTTGGCTTGCGCGCCCAGGTTGTCGTCTAGCGCCGAGCGGCGCATGATACGCGTGGCTGCCTTGGCTATATAACCAAGACGAAGGCAGAGGTTGAGGCAGAGAAAAACTGAGAGAAACCTCTGAAAAATCCTTCGTGTTGCTGAGAACGAGAGTTCCTTGTGCTGAGAGAGAAACTCTGTAATACTCTGTAACCAACCCGTCTCTGAAACACTTAGCAACATGGCCTCTTCTTCCCGTCCAGCTACCCAAAACATGGCCTCCTCTTCCCGTGGGCTACTTACGCTCTTTCCAGAACTGAATGAGTCCACAAGAGAAATAACTGGTGCGGTGGCCAGTCGGTGGAGCAAAAAATGGCAGTGCAAACGGATGTGGAGGCTAATCAGTATACTTTGAAGGCATGTGTGGAGTCCATGACGGCGGTCACAAACTTGTCGCACCGGCTGCAGAGTAGGACAAATGAGGTGCAGCAATTAAACGCCCAACTAGCGCTGCTCCAACGCATGTATAAGGATGCGCGAGCAGAGATAAGTGTGCTGAAGGCAGAAAATAAGGAGCTGAAGCGAAAGACCACCGTGATGTTCAGATTTGGAGGGCCGCCATATGCTGCAGTGGAGGAGTATGGGGGAGTGAACGTGTTCGGCGGCGTGGAAAACACAGAGGCAGCACCGTCAAGGGCCGCTCAGGACGGAGGCAAGAAGAAGAGACCTGCAGTAGAGTAGAGAAGGGAAAAGAAAAATCCCACTGGGGGTGTGGTTGTTTTGTTGGTGTGTTTTTTTTTTTTTTTTTGAATTTGAAAACATTAACGGCATTGGCAATGACAATAAAGAAATTTAACAATTCAATTATCAGAATACGCAAACAATTGATTGCAAAATTTTGGGGAAGGACTGTTATGCTATAATAGAAATTTTCAAAAGAGTAACATTTTTATGGGGTTTCCTATAATTTTTTCTGCAAACCACGTGATTGTTGGAAATTCAAAAAGGCAAATGATCCTGATTAAATATTAATACATGAAACAATGTCTATTAAGGAAATATCTCTTCAAAGGGAAGCTAATCAGCTTGAACCTTACGAACCGGGATGTGAGGAGTAGATGCCCGGCGCCAGATAGGTTGTGCCCCACTTTGGAAAAGAAACGAAAAAGTAGAGGTAGTGCGCCAGAATAGGAAAATAAAAAGAAACGAAAAGAGGAAAGTGGAGTGGGGAACAGGATTGTAAGGAAAAATGGGTTTTAAAAATAAAAAAGAAGAAGAGATAAAAAATAATAATAATAAATAAATATATATAAAAAAAAAGTAGGAAAAGAAAAAGTTGTTGCTGGCTCTCTCTCTCAGCATCACACGTGGGTGGTGTAAAGAGAATGGTTGTAAAGTGTGTGCACTACCGTGGCATGTATTGCTTCATCTGACATTGGAGTTGGCCGGCATCATAAGAGAGAAGGATGGATGATTTTCCCCAATAAAAAAATCGTAGAGAAAGAAAATCTTAAAGATAAGAATCAGAAAAAGGATGGAAGAAGAGGGGAAGAGAATCAGAAACTGGTGTTAGACACAGCAAGACCCCCAAGACTTGATGATGATAAGAATCAGAATGAAGAATGAAGCTGGAGAGGATTGAGGCTGAGGCGACGATGACGCCGGAGGGATGAGCGGCGACGGAGACGACGCCGAGGTAGTGGCCGGTGTTGGTGGCGACGCTTGTGAGCTCGTCGGGGCTCCATACCCTCACCGTTTCATCCAGTGACTCCGTCAGAAGGAGCGCTGGCTGCGCATCCGTGGCTGGGACCCACGTCATCGTCCACACCGAGTCGTCGTGGTCATTGTCGACCGATAAAGGGATTGTGGTGGCAGTGATGAGGCTACAGGTGGTCAGTCTCAGACCGCGGTAGTCGCGAATAATGGCAGATGGGAAAACTCTCCTCCCTTCTCTTAGTGATGGCCGGAGCCAATGTGTTTGTGGGTGGCGCGTTCAACGAACCAAAAAAGGAGAAGACCAGGCACACAACAAAAGCTTGGAACGTTGTTGGGAGACCAAGATAAATTCCAATACTCGTGTCTGGATTGGTGGGATGGAGCTTAATTTTGAGTCATCTCTTCGTTGCGAAAAGTGGACTAGTAGTCGTGATCTCTTTGAGGGTGACGATGAGGAGTCGGAGAGTTAGCGAGCTCTGTAGACATCGGAGTAGGCGCCGGAGCCGACTCAATAGAGGATCTCGTACTTGGAGGTGATCTCGCAGTGGGTGTAGATGCTCCAGCTCTTTGCCGATGATGGCGGCGGTTGGAGGGAGGTGTAGCAAAGGTAGCAAAGGTATCTAGGCCTGGATGCTGTGTTTACTGATATGGGTTTGTCCGGCGGGCGGCTAAGGCGAGGTTGCCGCCCGCCGGTGAAGCAAAATTATTAGGTTCTTAACCTAGCTCTGATACCATGAAACAAATGATGTAATATTGATTGATTGATATTATTGATTGATGTATATTACAAATGGTGAGTGGCTCATTATATAGGAGAGGGTGAGTGTAGTAGGTGAGGAGTAGGTGGTGGTAGGTGATGGTAAATTGGTGGTAGGTGATGGTAAATTTTAACACAAGCTTTGTTGTGACAATTTTTTTTTAAAACATAGTAATATGTAAGTTTGTAATCTTTCTAATGGTTTTGGGAGAAAATTGAGTTATAAAATGGAAGACAGTATGCTGTTCTATGTCTTTTATGCTGATGGCTTCATGCCATGCTATTTTATTAGTGGGTATAAAACTACCAAACCAATGTATAAGTTGAATCATATCCAGTGACATTGTTCATGTGCATTTCCTTCCGTTATTTATTTGATGCTTGTATTGGTTTCTGTTCCTGGATGTGCTTGTTCTCTCTCTCTCTCTCTCTCTTCGCTGTAGATGACACTACAGCAATTACAGTAACATTTTCAGCGTCCTTTTCTTTTTTTAATTCTTGCTTAACATTAGATCGCTACTGCTTGATTTTGATGAATTAAACAGCCTTGCTGTGTCCAGATTTCATTATTGCTTTCACCCTTATGTTACTTCTGTCCCTCCTATTATTTCCCTATTTTCCAATTAATTCGCATGATTCATGATAATTTTATTATCATTTTGTGGAAGATGGATTAAAATTGTGGGACAAAAGGTCATTAAATACTTTATCTATTCAGCTAGGATATGTAGATTGGCTACTTTAGTTGTCGCATGCAAAAGATTCAAAGTAGTGAATGCACCATTAAACTTGCATGCGATATGGAATTCAATGAGACACCTCTTACTGAGCTTCTGTTTTTTTGGTTATATGGTGCAGTTCTATGAAGAGCTAGTCCATGGGAAGGCTTCAGGCATAAAACTTGGACAGTTACCTGATAAACCTGTGAATAAAAAGACTAAATTCACATATTCTGACTCTTCTAGTAGTGATGATGATGATGATGATGAGAACGAGGACGATGATGATCAGAAGGAAAAGGAAGAGGACAAAGATAAACCAGGTACTCATGCAGAAGATGATGCAAATCATGAAAGTTCCATACATGCAGACCCAGATCCTCATAAACTGGAAGAAAATAAGGATGATAATAAAGAGGCTGCTACATGTCATAAAAGTCCAGAAGTTGAAGTTGAGGAGCCACCAACAAAGAAACAATGCCTAGAAACAAATGCATCAAAACATGGAAATGTCATAACTAATAAAGTGGAGGAGAAGTCCATAGATAAGTTAATTGAAGCAGAACTTGAAGAGTTAACTGACAGAAGCAAGGTAAGTCAATGATAGCTTCTGAAATAGTTTTGGCACTTCATATATATGGGAATGATATTGTGAACCCGGACTCCGTGTCATTAAACCATTTTAGCTTATGGCCTAAGAAGCATGGACATGGATACGGATATGGACATGGATGCGGATGCAGATGCGGACATGGATAGGGCATGGGACACGGCAAATTAAAAAAAATGGGGGCATGGACAAGGCGGGGACACGACAATAAAATATGTTTTTATATATTTTTATTTACTATCTAGATTAGTATTAGATCTACAAACAATCAATATTAACAAAAATTAACTCTAATTCTATAATTTTTTATTTATTTATTAAAAAAATGCACTTTTGAATTTACACTTACAGTTTATATATATATATAATTTTATGGATGATCTATTAAGTATTTAAATCTAAGAAAAAAAAAATAATAACATTCAACATTCATCAAAAGCACTAAAGAAAATGAGAGAAAAGACAACTTGGTATGTTTCTAGTGTGTCCTCGGTGTTTCCCCTAAAAATAAATTATTTAAATAAGGATACATGCCATGTGACGTGTCCCATATTTGTCCCCGCCGTTTCTATGTGTCCGAAACGGATACGGCACTTGTTTTGAAGTATCGGTGCTTCATAGCTTATAGCTGTTGTTTTGTTTTATTTTGTTCTTTTTTTCAAAGAAATTTATTTTAAATCCTTCTTGTCCTTGGTTATTATCATGGTTTGCAGCAATTTCATTTCCAGCAGTTTGCGCTGGAAATTTTTGCACGCCTTCTTCTATTTAGTGATATATGCTAGTGATAGCGGATGCATACAGAATTACTTTTAGTTATTTATTTGGTAACATTAATGTGGATTTATATCTTCACCGCAATTGAAATTTGTGGAAAGTATGTTCTTGTCTCAATGGTCTTGTATATTCAACCAAATCTGCTATGAAATTTAAAAAGAAAAGGAATATATATAAGAAAAATGGAAGCATCCAATTCAATATGCTCACTAAGCTTTTATTTGTGCCTATAATTTTTTTATGATTTTTATTTTATTTTATTTTAATTTTTCACTTGCCTATTTACTTCCTGTTCTTACCAACAAAGAATCACACAATTTTTTAAGCATTATCTCACACTTTCTTCAAATTCCACTCAATTCTTAACGGATAAACTTTTTCCTAATCAAAAGAAAAAGATTTGGTGGAAACTTTGTAATTTGTATTCCTGGAGATTGGAGGGTTTCATTGTCTATAATTAATAAGTAAATTGTTTTGTTAGCTTTACCATTTATGTGGAGTTGATGTCTTTTCTGGATAATTTAATTGTATATTCAATATAAGATTCCATCTTTTGAGGGGGCAATTTGTAAACCATTTGATGCATCTATATGCATAGTTATGAAGTCTCAAATTGTGGGTAAGATGCCAAGTCTCCTAGAGCTTGAGTGCAAAGTGCAATGTTAAGTGCGATCTGAGTGAAGCTATAATAGTTGTATCTTGTATATATTAAATGTACTTTCATTTGAAAACAATTTATAATCTATATATATTTTTGACAAATTATGAGCTTCCTATATTACTTAAAGCATATTCTTATCCTGGATATTCCTTGAATCTTTCTCCTGTTTTGATAATAAATTGTTGTGTTTTTGAAACAGAGGCATTTTAACAACCTTGATTCAGGGTGCAATGGTGTTGTATTTGTTCAAATGCGTAAGAAAGATGGAGACCCAAGCCCCAAGGATATTGTGCAACACATGATGATGTCAATTGCCTCAACAAGGAAACATATATCAAGGTTCATTGGATTTTGTATTTGTCAATTACCTTTGTACTGTTAATAGGTTATTTTATCTTAAAAAGATGTACAGAAGGTTCACAATCTGGTTTTAATCAGGTTCATCTTAAGAGTGTTACCTGTTGAAGTCACATGCTATGCTTCAGAAGATGAAATCACAAGGGCAATCCAACCACTCATTTCACAATACTTTCCTGTGGAAACTCAAACTGCACTCAAGGTACTATTTGCTAACTTTGTATCAACATTGGAAGGGGGATAATTTGCATTTGTCTCCTACTACTGCCAAGGTAAAAAATTTGGAAAGAAATAAGTTAATGGAGCAAATTTTAAAGTCTATGGCCAAGGGTGATGTGGCTTCCTGGAAATCTCTTCCCTAGTTGTGAATTTCCCTGGTTAATGTTGGAATTTCTATGATGAAATTAGCTATAATTTGTGGATATGAACTCAAGTGTTGTGTTTTTACTTTGGACATGTGTGCCAGATGAAGATGCTATCCAAAATCCAGGGCCAGGAACATGGATAAGTTTATGCTTGTGAATTTACTTTATTGACCGAGAACAATGATCTATATGCATACATGCATGCAGAGCAAAAAAATGATAAAAAATAATAGTCATGGTGCAGTCTCCTTCGCAAGGAGCCACATATAGCTCACATGTGTATTTTTAAGATTACTGTAGATAAAGAACCTGTTTTTTGTGCAAACTAGTTTGAACATGTGTGGCAGTGTCAAGTTGTTGACACTGTCAACAAGTCTCAACTCTCAAGACGCAAATCTTTCTCAAAGGATGGGGAGAAAATGTCATACATGTCATAACAAAGTAGTGGGTAAAGGTGTTTGTTCCACCAAACTTGAGAAACTTTGTTATCATAAAGAGGCAGTTGGAAACACCAATGGGGATGCAAAGATACTCATCCAGGAGATCTGGGAGAAACATGTCCATGCTGGACTGGCTAATCTCTCTTTCTCTCTCCTTGTTTTTTTAAACATTTTCTTGCATTGCATTATTGCTGTTAACTCCGGAAAAAATTACACATTCTGAACTTCACTTTTTGTGTTGATGTTCTTCGAGAATTTCAGCATGTATTATATAGATTTGGGATTTGGGATATTTAATACATCTGAACTAGAAGTCATATGCTGTAAGTTTAAGAGTTTTTTCTTTTTGTTGGTGAAATTTGTTAATTGTGGCTGGGGAACAATTAAGTTAGTACACTTCACTTACTGGTTTACCAACATTAAACCTCTTGTTCTTTTTTGACCCCTAACGAACTCCAATGTTGGGAAAGACAGGTGGGAAAAAAAAAGAAGAAACGAGCTTGGGTTGGAATTGGATCGTGTTGTGAGTTCACCTAGTTGGAATTGCATGTTTCGAACACGAACTGTAATGTGTTGCCTGGACTTTTCTGACTTATCTGTTGTAGTTTGCAGTATTGTATGAAGCCCGAGCAAATACTGGTATAGATAGGATGAAAATCATCAATGCAGTTGCAAAATCTGTTCCTGCACCTCACAAGGTTGATCTCAACAATCCAGATAAGAACATAGTGGTTCAAATTGTCAAGGTAAGATGTGCTTTTCGATGTAAAATTTTGCCTTGTGTATGTCCACTAGTAATGCTTGTTTATAACACAAACCAGTTTTTAATTGTTAAGTTGATTGTCGCGTAGAGATTTTGGGATAGTTCATCTTCGTGCCTTGTCAATCTGGTTTACACATTCAGATTAATGCCTTGTCAACCTGGTTAATCGATCCTGTGCTAATACCATTTATTATTAGTTTCTAAAATTTTGTTAATTTACGGTAATACGTCAAAGGACACAGACAAACTATTTCATTTGCAGAGAAGATGAGGAAATGAAATAGATCTGTTGATAAATGCTTTGAAATCCTGCCTCTTAACTCAATGAATTGACCTGAAACTGTATGTTAACTGTTTTCTATTTAGTGGTTATTACTCTTGTTTGTTTTGTTTGAAAGACACATGGTTAAAAGTTACCCGTGCCCTTTAATGGTTTCTCCAAGAGTATGAGCACTTGTTGCTTGGTTCTATGGATTGACAGCTTAAATGTGAAATCTGAGGCAGCTCACATCATCCTTTATAATAATTGTCATTTCAATGTGGCATTAGAGAACAATCAAATCTCAGAATTGTCATTTCAATTAGTGCTTTCCATGGGTACATTACATCTTATCTATCCATGTAAGCATCAGAGCACATTGAAATATAATTTTCAAGAACTTCTAGATGATTAAGGTTTGTGTTCCCATCTTTTGCTTTGTTGGACATGCTTGTTGGGTATACCTTGTCATGTTTGATGAGGGTACGCCTTGTCATGTTTGATGGGATGTCCATTTCTGTTGTGGATGAGCCACTGGATTACAATAATTGTCATTTCACTCTCCTTTAGTTTTTACGTAATCCTCTTTTTGTAGTTGTAGAAATCACAAAAATTCTACATATGCATTGTGTATCAGAAGTTTATGTATACAATACATATTAACCCAGTGAACTGTAGGGATAAGAAAGCCTTCTGAGGGACTATAGAGCCCGCAAAATCTATCCCTTGTTTTTAATATGCTGTTTCTAGGTAAATTGTTAAAGGGTTTGTTACACATTTTACCCCTAAATAATTGCCAGATTGTGTACTTAGTCCATAAACTATCGATTTAGTCCCTAAAGTATATAAATCAAAGTCTAATTAGTCTCTAAATTATCTATCTAAACTATCTATTAAATCTACTAAGTTCTTAAAGTATTTAATTCAAACCTATTTAGTCCCTAAAAGGATTACAAAAATAAAATATATGTTCATAAGTATTATAAATTAGTAAAAGACCCTACCCATTTTAGGAGATAAGTAAGAAAATATTATAGATAATTGTCATTACTTTTATAAAGGAAATTCACCATAAGGACTAACGCCCACTTTTCAAAGACAATAAAAATTAGTTTTTTTTTTCTTTCAAAAACTAGATTGGGTCTTTTACTAATTTATAATGCTTATAGGCTTATATTTTATTTTTTAATCATTTTAGGGACTAAACAAGTTTGAATTAAATACTTTAGGGATTTAATGGATTCAATCGATAATTTAGGGACTAAATATATACTTTACGGATTTAGTAGACTCGATCGATAGTTCAAGGATTAAGTAGACAATTTGGTGATAGTTTAGGGGTATAAAATGTAATAAACCTATTTTTAAATTATGTTGCTTATACTTTGTGATCTGGGGCAAGTAGGACAAAAAATGCTTAGCTTATATGCCTTTATCTTGGTATGGTTTTTGGTGAAAATTGTGTCTCTTTTGTTAAAGCCACTTGTATAAATTTGAAATTGAAATTTCTCCCTGGGCTGTTAATTACTGCTTTCCCATTGGGTTTGACATAGAGGCTAGTCAAACAAGACTGTTCCGAGTGTCACATTTAAGGTTGGGATGAAGTCATTAGTGCCTTTTCCTGTAGAATCGATTGTACTGGCGATTAGATTCACCCTTTTTACAGCCCAATTGGCAAGCACGAGTCTGAACATTTGCCTCGTTTGCAACTGAATGAAATTGTATTGAATTGTCTGAATAGTATATGCTATTGTTCATGCATTATAAGTTTCTTTAATTTGGGGTACAACGATCGTGATTATAAGTTTGTTAACTTTTCTCTCTTTCACAGACTGTGTGCTTGATGGGAGTAGTTGAGAAATACAAGGAATTGGCCAAGTACAATCTGAGGCAGCTATCATCCAAACCATAGTTTCTTCCACACTTTTTTGGGTATTATTATAATTGGGAGTTGCTTTGTAATTTTTGTCAGATGTTATCAAATCGTTATTAGGTTAAAGATTTTGATGAAAAATCAAAAGATGAATTAAAGATCTTGGACTTGAGAGATGAGGAGCTGTTTTCTTTTAAATTATTTAATAACATGCTTATCATTCTAAAAGTTAATGTGACATGGCTATGTTTTTATTACCCCTATTAATTCTACTTTTGGAGGCTTGTTTAGCTGTTTGACTCAGTAGTATTATTATTGTTATATATCTAAGGGGGAGTTGCTTTGTAATTTTTGTCAGATGTTATCAAATTGTTATTAGGTTAAAGATTTTGATGAAAAATCAAAAGATGAATTAAAGATCTTGGACTTGAGAGATGAGGAGCTGTTTTCTTTTAAATTATTTAATAACATGCTTATCATTCTAAAAGTTTAATGTAACATGGCTATGTTTTTATTACCCCTATTAATTCTACTTCTGGAGGCTTGTTAAGCTGTTTGACTCAGTAGTATTATTATTGTTTTATATCTAACTGAACAAACTGATGGACTTGCTGACAAAGATGTTCATGGGTTGTATCTTTACTCATCCAGTATCGTCCCTTAAATCTTCTGTGATTCTTTACGAGTCTGCCTAATATTAGGGCTGCTTTGACATCTATGAAAAAAGACAAAAAATTAAAAAGTTATCACTATTCACAAAATATATATATATATATAAATTTACAAAAAAAGGTACGAGTTAAAAAGTGTATTGAAGTGATGTGTTGTTTGTAGTGTTGTTGGTACACACTAGACAGTTGGATGCACTTCTCATGATACACAAGACAATGCTGTTCAGCCTATGGGAGCCCATAACGGATCCCGTTTCGATAATCTGAACTGTTTAATGTGTAGAACTCGTCGAATATTATATGTTTGTAAAAAATCACGTTAATCGGATATCGATAACTATATGATTAAATTAGTTTTGTAAAAAAAAAATAGACGGTGAAGAAATTAACAGTTGACAAAAAAACTAATATGATCAGATAGTTATCGATATTCGATCAATATGATTTTTTACAAGTATATAATGCTCGATGAGTTTTATATATTAAACGGTTCTTTTTATCAAAACGGGACCTGTGGTGGGCTCCCATAGGCTGAAAATCTGCTCCTACATGTGTTTGCTGCCCATCGTCTGGCTTCTTAGACAATCCAAGTCAGTAGGCATTTAGATATAGTAGGGATAAAATGGTAATTTAGATATTTTTATATAATATTTTAATACACATTTTTTTTTTGTAAAAAGTCAAAAATTTATTCTAAACATATATATATTTTTCTCTAATTTTTTTACTAAAAAGTTAAAATATGCATTTATTTAGAACACTCCAAACAATCCTGGAGCACACAGTGCTGCTCAAACAAGAAGCAAGCTTAGAATTTGGTTAACCAAACAAATCGTTCACAAAACTGCTATAGTGTGTTCCCTAGTGAATGAGATACTAGCAATTCCCGATAATAGCCAAAGACCCCGATACCTATTGTAAATTTTAAATTTTACCAATGAAAATTGTTTCAGAAAAGATTGAAATGAGGGTTGACCATAGCATAATTTGGCCTGTGGTGTTGACTGGTCCCAAAATCCTTTATGTGTCCTTATCCAAAAGTTTGTGACAACCTTCGTAAGGATGTGCCATGAGGCTTTGGGTACCTAACTGAACCAATTTGATTTCTTAGATATTTTTCCAGTTTATTAATTTTGCTGAGTGTTCATGTCCTGCTTTTACTTAGTTTTCTTATAAAGAAGCCAAAAAAAGAAAAGAAAAAAGGAGCAGAAACTTTAGCCCCCTCAGATTTAGACAAAGAACAAACAGAACAAGGAGCAAACACAATAATCTTGTTTTCCAATCCAAACTCAAACTAGCAATTCATTAGTACACTTCATTTTTAACTGCAAATATCCATGAAATCTCAATTTTCAGTTAAAACAAGACACATTGTAGAAATCGTGAGAGAAAAAAAAACGAAAAAGGAATAAATGGAAGAAAATGTTGAAACAATAATCTCGTTTAAATCTTTCTTTCCTCCAGAAGAAAAGAACACTTCTCAGAGAATTTTTCAGAGAATAGATGAGAATGATTTTTGATCAAGGAATGTTTTCTGGGTTATGTAACTTGCCGTCCGTTGTTCAGCAGAGCCTCTGTTATATATAGAGAAGATTATAGAGCCGTTATATTTATTTGAATATAATCCATTCTATCATTACTGATTTGATCTTGTGGGAGGCAAAGCTTGGATCTGGAACAACTTTATTTCAAAGAATAGCCGTTGTAGCTCAGAGCCGTTGAGAGAAAAGTTTGAAACGAAGCAAAACTGGGCAAAAAGAGCTTGGCTGGTCGTCCGGCCAGATGTCCTCCCGAACGTTCGATCCTTTGCAGATTTAAACCTTTTGGACTGCTGTTGTGCTGGGTTAATTGAATCTCTGTTTTGGGCTGTTTGAGCCTCTGTTTTTGGGCATTGTTTTTGAGTTGAAATGAACTCCTAATTGAGCAAATATTAAATACATTCTAACAACATTTAGGATAAAAGTTTAGGTAAGAAATAATGGGGTAAAATAAATTGTGATTCTATTTTTTTCTTCTAAATAAATTAAAACGTAATTAAATAAATCATAAAAATAAATAAGTCTAACATAGAGGATTCATTTATATACTTTCATAATTTAGAGAATTAAAGTGATACATCTTAATAATTTAGGAGGTTTCCATGTGAATAACCTATGTTATATTAATTGGATGGTGACTTAATATATAACTCTTTACACCTTGTTGAGTCACATGATTTTTTATTTTTTATTTTTTATTTTTACTGAGAAGTGAATTGAATTGAATGAGAGATAGAGAATAGACAGTTGTGTACATTACACTTAGGCTTGTTTTTTGAGAACTTGTCTATTTTAGTTGACTTTTTAATTATTTTATAATAAGGAAAAAAGTTTTATTTGAAATTATTTGTGATTTTTATTTATTTATTTTTTTTGGGTGTGAGAGAAAAAGTGATTGATTGATATTAGATGTGACATTTTGTCTTATTGGCTATTTTAGCCTTTTTTGTCTTTAGGTTTAGGCTTTTCTCCAGTCTGAAATCGAACTAGAGCATGATGTTGGACCTCCGTGATCACGTGGCTATTAACATCCGATTAACATGATTTTTTTACAGGGATAAAGTACTCAATGAGCCCTATCCATTGCACTGTTTGAATTATCGATGTGGGCTCTGTGGTAGGCCCACAGAGATCTAACATCACGCTCCAATTGGGTCCCAACAGGAGAAAAGCTGCTCCCTCATCTCACTAACTATTTTAGCCAAAAATTCTATTACCAAATATGGCCTTTATATGACAAGTGGAATCAAGTTTAATATTTATTTGGTTTTGTGTTTACCACATTTTGGAACTTAGATTTTTAGTCAAAAGTCAAAAAATTATTATAAATTGTCACATCATTTTTTCTATTTTGTTTTTTTTTTTTTTTTTTTGTAAAAAGTCAAAAATTTAATGCAAACATATATATATTTTTCTCTAATTCTTTTACTAAAAAGTTAAAATATGCATTTATTTAGAATATTCCAAACAATCCCGGAGCACATGGTGCTGCTCAAACAAGAAGCAAGCTTAGAAATTGGTTAACCAAACAAATCGTTCACAAAACTGCTATAGTGTGTTCCCTAGTAAATGAGATTCTAGCAATTCCCGATAATAGCCAAAGACCCCGATGCCCATTGTAAATTTTAAATTTTACCAATGAAAATTGTTACAGAAAAGATTGAAATGAGGGTTGACCATAGCATAATTTGGCTTGTGGTCCTTTGTGTCCTTATCCAAAAGTTTGTGACAACCTTCGTAAGGATGTGCCATGAGGCTTTGGGTACCTAACTGAACCGATTTGATTTCTCAGATATTTTTCCAGTTTACTAATTTTGCTGAGTGTTCATGTCCTGCTTTTACTTAGTTTTCTTATAAAGAATCCAAAAAAAGAAAAGAAAAAAGGAGCAGAAACTTTAGCCCCCTCAGATTTAGACAAAGAACAAACAGAACAAGGAGCAAACAATAATCTTGTTTTCCAATCCAAACTCAAACTAACAAATCTCAATTTTCAGTTAAAACAAGACACATTGTAGAAATTGTGAGAAAAAAAAAGAAAAAGGAATAAATGGAAGAAAATGTCGAAACAATTATCTCGTTTAAATCTTTCTTTCCTCCAGAAGAAAGAGAATATGTGTGGGTAACTGCCAAACCACCTTTAACATCTAGCAATAGGCTTGTATAACTTCTCCACCATCTTCCTGTATTCTGTAAGAGACGAAAGATCAATATTGCAGCCATTAAAGTCTGTAAATTCATTTGAAAGGTGTTAAAAACAAAAATATTGTATTTTACCTTCTTGGTTGCTCCATAGTGATGCAGCTTGTGTGTTTAGAGGGGAGCTTGTATTTGGTTCTAAATTCAACACCACCAAATAAAAAAAATAAAATAATGGAGAATGTAATAAGCACAACCATAACAATCAAATGGGTATTCTAAATTTTGTTTAAAAAAGAAAAAAAGAAAATAAATTTAGTGAATAATTTTACCTCCAAGCAGACTCTGGATAGAAAGCAGTATTGTTCTCACATCATAAGCTGATGACCATTTATCCTACACAACAAGCACAATTCACAATTAGCAACATACATACATTATTAATGAAAATCTATAATGACGAAGTATAACAATATCGCCTTCTAGTGTTTTTGGATTCATCCAATAATCACCTGAAGGATGTCCAAGCATATGTTGCCATATAAATCTAGATTGGGATGAAAACAGACGGTCTCGAATTTGACCTTGGGAGGCTTAAAGGGGTAATCGTTGGGAAACGAGAGAGAAAGCCTGTACTCTTTTCCTTCAAAGACTGTGTCTTTGCTTCCAGTAATGGTCCCTTTCCAGCAGAATATATTGTCTTCCTCAGGGAATGCTGATATAAGGGAATCGCCACTCATCTTTACATTGTGACAAGAAAGAGAGAGTTTATCAGAGGACACTTTGAAAAAACAAGTCAATGCTCAAAAAAATTCACATTCTGTGAATGATTCTTACCATTAAGGCCATCAATTCAGATTGCAACCTGTTTTGTGGTTTTTTGGGGGGGTAAAGAAGAAGAAAAGATTCAGAAATCCTTGAAATCACAAGTTAGGAAATAAATGATAAACTAGCTATGTAGAATGCAATTCATTTCAGGGAAACACAAACAAACACAAAAATAAAAAACAAAACAAAATCAATGAAATAAAGAAACAAAAAGCAATCTATTTAATGAAAACAGATCAATAAAGCAGAACTAAAAAAACCCAATAAACAATATGTTACTTCAATAAAGAAAAAGGTAAATTACATTTTTACCCCCGTCTTTTATCTTAATTTTACTTCTATCTACATCACCTTCAACCTGTGTTTCAATATTGTCTTCCCGTCATCCAAAATTTAAAATAGAGGGTAAGTTAGAACATGAATAATCAAAATGAAAATTGAAGAAAATTTAAGAGTGAAAAATTGTAATTTGTTTTATAACTTCATTCAGTGTTTTATAACTTCATTCAGTGTTTCAATTGTAAACAACGAATGAACCAATTGAAACACTGAATGAAGTTGAAGGCTTAATTTAATTGTTGTCATAGAAGGTGAACAACAAATTAAAATTTAATTAAACATTGATGGGTGAAAATGTAATTTACCCTAAGTTGGTTGGGGATTTGAGGAGGAATTTCAAAAGGGAAGAGAGTGTGTGAAAATAGGTGAAATGTAATTATATTTTATTTACATTTTATCTTCTTTTTTTCTTTATCTTTTTAAATTCTTTTTCAAATTCCTCAACCATACACAGCGTGAAGAAATTCCAAAGCATAAGCTGCAACATATATTTTGTAAAAACAAAAACATAAAAGAACCTTCTAAAAATGCAAATAATCAAGACACAATTAGACCAATCAAGTTCAAGAACAAAAGAGAGACCAATTCAACACGAAATCCTAACCCAGAAACCAATCTTTCAACTACATAGATAGAAATTGATGAAAACGTAAGTAAAAACAAATCCCAAATGTCATAATAATCAAGTTTGGATTTTAAAAAATGTACATATGTATTAGGTGTTTAATTGTACCTCTTGAGGACAGGGAGGGTGTCGACACTCTTCGCCGTGGGGAGAGGCTGTTTGGAGGATGCGATTTCCATGGCGGTCACCGCTATGTTATTGCCTTGGTTGTGGCCGTTCATGTTAGTCATCGTCTCTCTCTCTCTCTCTCTCTCTCTCTTTCCTGGTTCTGATTCAAACGGTGATATGTTGAGAAGATTTGAGACCCGGCTAGAGAGAGAAGCAGAGAGACAGAGCTTGATGAATAGAGAGAGAGAGACAGAGAGAAAGAGAGAGAGAGAGAGAAGGGAAGAGATGGAGGAATTGGATGTCTTCTTCTTCTTGTTCTTTCTAAGAAGAAATGTAGAGGAAGGAGTCTCAAGAATTCAAACACTTATTTGAACGTTACATCATTTGCTTTTTGTAATTTTCGGTTTTTTCTCATAACGGCTAGTTTCAATTTCTAAGACCCTGCATCGTCTAGGGTTAGGGTGGCCCTACTAGGATGCAACCAGCCTTGCCACAATTTAAAGCCCAACAAAAATTACAACTAAAAAGACACGATCTCATATATAATCAAAATTTATATAATCCTAAAATAAAATATTTATATCAATTAGTTGTATATATTTTTAATTTTTACCAAATTTTTTTTATTTATAAAAAATTTGAGACGTTACTACATTTCACTATTGTCATATTTTCGATGGATGGTCACCGAAATCTCGTTGGAATATTCAACATTACTAAGAAGTTGTCAGAGTATTGTCAAAAATTTGCTAGAGTATTGCCGGGGTGTTCGGAATATCATTGAAAGTCGTCGAAATGCCCAAAACGTTCGTTGAAACTCATAGGAATGTCCATAATATTGCTAACAAAAAAAAGAATAAATGGAGAAATTAGAGTGAAAAAACATAGCAAAACATGCTAAATATTGATAAAATGAAAAGAAAAAATATGTAACAACAAAAAACAACAACGTTAGGAAAAACATATGCTATTTTTAAATTTTTATAGGATTTAAACAAATAATCTCCAATTGATCAAATTGCAAAAGCAAGTTTTGAAACTGTAAAATTGTTACAGTTTCAAAGCATGATTCTATTAAAAATCAAATTGAAAAATATGTTATGAAATTACAAAATTTTACAGTTCTAAAGAAAGATATGAAATTGAAATTTTTTACAATTTTAAAGCATGATTCATTTCAACATCAAAAAAACTAAAACTAGAAAATTTTATAGTTTTCATCACCTATAACTAAAATTCGAAAACAACTTATTCATAACTTGAAAATTTTGTTCAGTAAAATAGGAAAAGAGGAGTATGTAGTAGAGAAAAAGTAAAAAAATTGAGAAATTGAAGGAGAGAGACAGATATTGAGAGAGGGTTGTACTCCGACAACTATTTTTGGTTTAGATCTAGCTGGATCTGATGTAAGTAGATCTACATCAAATCTGAGTAGATCTACTTATCTTCTTCGCTGGAAACTCATCTCTTTCACTGTCGGTGATGGCGAAGCAAGGAGTTAATGGTTAATGGTTGCTAGTAGACCCCAATTGATGGTGGTCACCGGTGACTGTGTAACAGCACGGGTTGAGACCCGACCTTCATTTTTTTTTTTGGTAGAGATAGTTGTTAAAAAAAAAAAAAAGGATTTTCAGTCATAATTAGACTAGGCTCGAAAATTTTCTTAGTGTGGAAATTGGATTTTTCGAAACTTATGATTTTGAAAATAATTTTTTGTGATAATTGTTCCTTATATATTAAATAGTCTAATTTAATTTTATGAGACTTTTCTATGAAGTATTAACCCCTTTGCTTCAACATAAAACTTAAAAATTTCAGCCAAAAAAATATTTTTGTACTAAAACTGGGGGAACCACTTTTTGATTTAATTAGATTTTGATTTTTCTTTTGTATTTTTCTTTGAATCTAAATAGGGGGTATTTCCTTATTTACATTATAAACTTGACGTGTATAAGCCCATAAAAGCCATGAATCACTATGAACAACCCAAACCCATCACTTGGAGCCCAATACATAACCCAGCTGGTGAGGTCCAGAATAGCTGGAATCCAACATGGCATAAAGAGCCAATGACATTCAGACACATGGTAGGTGAAGGACGAGCTACATCAGCAGACAAAAATCTGCAAAGTTATTGCTACTGCGCATCACCATTAATGCAGCCCATCACAGCATTTATTACGACAACACCTCTCCATCGGAACAGGACCCCCTTACCCTGAACAAGGTAAGCTACAGCATAGACTTTCGGTGAGGAGGGTAGGTCGGAAAGGACAACGAAATGATTACCAAAGGATATAAGCAAACGTTGAAGACAAGAAGAAGGTTAAGCTTTCTATCTCTAATTTCTTTCTACACCTTACTTCTCCTTCTAACTTGCTCGTCGGAGGGTTCACTGGGGGACTACTCCGTTCCCCGTTGGACTTGTTTGCAGGTTATCTGGTGGGCTTGATCATTTGGACGTGGGCCTGAGGAGCTTGGACCTGTCCGATCCATCCACTGGAACAAACTGTATCATCAGTTGGCGCCGTCTGTGGGAAAGACTTTGCTCCGCGCGCTAGTTGTGCTCATTGTCGCCGGAGACCCTATCCCAACAACCTTTTCCTCCTACCCATCAAAGTGTATGGTCACAACTAGATCCACGGCTTCTCACAATAATGCTGCCGACCATCAGGTTGACCCCCCCAATCCAAACAACCCACCGCAGTGTTTTATCGAGCTTACCAACAGCATTAACTGCATGGCTGAGCAAAACCGGGTCTTGATAAATGCTTTACTCCAAAGAAACCTTCTGATGCCTCCTCCACCACCTCCAGATTTTCCACCCAACCAAGAAAGAGCCCCGAGCCATACTATTCCGCAGCCTAATCCACCCAACAGAGAAGGCTTGTAACCCCCTCCTCCAGGTATAAACCTACCACCCCGGGGCCTACAACCATCGATCCCGCCACCAATCCTTGAAGGAGAGGCTAGCAGCGTCTAGCCCCCGCTACCCTCCGGAGGTGACCACATCCCTCTCTGGGACGCAGAACTCCGAGCCATGAAGCTCCAACTCCGAGGGATCATGCAGAACATCCAGCATAAACCCTCTACTACAGCAAACTCACCATTTGTCGCCTTCATCTGCGACAAACCTCTACCCCCCAAGTTCAAGATGCCCACCATCGACTCTTTTGACGGTACGACGGACCCAGTCGACCATCTGGAGACCTACAGAACCCTCATGATCCTCCATATATTCCCTGACGAGATCATGTGTCGAGCTTTTCCCGTGACACTAAAGGGGTCAGCTCGGCTGTGGTTTAGCCAGTTACCAGCAGACTCCGTCTCCACTTTCTAACATCTCAGTGACTCCTTCCTCAGCCATTTTATTGGAGCCCAGCACCAGCGACGCTCGATAACCCAACTCCTCAACATTCGGCAGACCGAGGGGGAGTCGCTACGCAGTTTTGTTACCCGTTTCAACACCGAGGCACTATAAGTAGCGGAAAATAATGACAAGGTCATCCTCACTGCTTTCATGGTCGGTCTGCGGTCGTCCGATTTCCTGTTCTCCCTCTCTAAAAACCCCCCAACCTCCATGGCGGCACTACTCTCCAAAGCCCAAAAATACATGAATGCTGAGGATTCCCTAGCCGCTCGGCAAGATCCCATAACCAAAAACCCGGCCCCCAGAGAAAAGAGAAAAGACTCAGAACCCAGAAACACCCAGCATAATAGCCAAACACCACATTATACCGACCGACCCCCCCGAGCTGACAGGTCGGCAACAGTCCGACCGCCCGGTCGGTTTAAGCGCTACACACCCCTTAACTCCCTCATGGAACAAGTCCTAAATCAGATCCAGCGGGACTACCCCCTTAAATGGTCCCAACCGTCGCGAACCCCTTCCAATCAGAAAGACCAGCCCAAATATTGCCGCTTCCACCAGGACCATGGCCATAACACCGATGAGTGCGTTAACCTCAAAGATCAGGTCGAGACCTTCATACGCCAGGGGCGTCTTAGCCGGTTCACGGACACCCACCCTCAGCAGAGGCAAAGAACTGAGCCCCTCAGAAACAACCGCCGGCGCACCCCTCCAGGAGCCAGCCCAACCTAACCAAGGCCATGATCGCCCTCCACAGCAACCTCGGCCGCCAGGCAACCCCTCTCCACCTGTTGGAGAGATCAGAGTCATTTTAGGCGGCCTTGCTTACGGGGGACCGTCCTGCTCGGCTCAGAGGGCAGAACTCAAGAAGATCAGGCAGGGCTCAGACAAAGCAGTTGCCATGGTCGATCGACCCTCCAAACAGCCCAAGCAGTGGACCGAGCCTATTACCTTTACGGACGCCGACTGTACAGGCATCCGCTACCCTCATGATGACCCTCTCGTCATTTCTGCCCTCCTCTCCAACTACAAGGTCAGATGAGTTCTCATCGACAACGGCAGTTCTTCAGACATCATCTTTCTCAACTGCTTTCGCTAGCTCAAAATTGGAGAGGAAAGTCTGTCTCCTCTACAAACCCCTTGGTTGGTTTCACTGGCAACCGGGTGACCTCCATCGGCTCCATCGATCTCCCCATCACCATCGGTGAATACCCACGGCAGATTACCAAGTTGCTCACTTTCCTTGTGGTCGACTGTCCCTCTACCTACAACATCATCCTTGGTCGCACCGCCCTTAACACTTTCCAAGCTATCACTTCAACTTACCACCTCGCCATAAAGTTCCCTACCGACCTGGGTGTCGGGACAGTAAAGGGAGAGCAGACCGTAGCCAGGGAATGTTATGTCGTCTCACTCAAGGAAGTCAAGCTGAAGGAGGCCATGATCATTGAAGGACTTGACGTCCGAGATGAGGACGAGCTGGTCAGAGGAGAACCGGTGGAGGAGCTCGTTGAGATTCCCATCGATCCCACTAACCCAATGAAAACTGCCAAGATCGGTAGCCAACTATCCCCCCAAGCTAAGGCCGACCTTACTGCCTTTCTGACCGAGCACAATGATGTATTTGCCTGGACTCATTCAGACATGCCAGGCATTGACCCCTCTTTCATAACTCACCGCCTCAGCATTGAACCCCATTTCCGACCTTACCGCCAGAAGCAGCTCATCTTTCATTCGGAGCGCAATACACTTATAGCTACAAAGGTTGACAAGCTCCTTGAGGCCCAATTCATCAAAAACGTGGACTACCCTAAATAGTTGTCAAACGTGGTCCTAGTCCGCAAGAACAATGGCAAATGGCGACTCTGTGTCGATTACTCTGACCTGAACCGAGCTTGCCCCAAAGACAGTTATCCTCTTCCCCGCATAGATCTGCTGGTCGATGCCACGGCCGGTCATCAAATGCTCAGCTTCATGGATGCTTTCTCTGGTTACAACCA